CGCGCGCGCGCGCACACACACACACACACACACACACACACACTACATAATGATCGTGCTTCCTTGTGAAGACCTTTGACACAGTCTTAGCCAAAATCTCTCATTCCCTCAAATGCCACCACTTCCTCCATAAGGCCCTTTAATATTTAACCCAAGTAGAGGTAACTTCCCTGCAATTGCGTATATCATGAGTGTTTGTATCTGGTTTAGTGGCCTCCAACTAGTTACAAGCAGCAGCTGTGTTAACTCTGCGGTCTTTGGTCCAGGCCAACAATAGGAGCTATGGCGCTGTGGAAGGACTAAGCCGCAGAGCCACAAAGGCTTAATATTTCTTTCTGTTGTTATGCTACTGTTATATTGACTGTCCAGAGTTTTGACCTTTATTAATAGGGCTCTAATTTATTAATCTAACTGATACAAAAACATTCCACTATACCACCATTCCACTATTATGGACCTAAGCTCAAGATTGTAAGCCTCCATAATGTGTATGCTTATACTAAAAGTTAAGATCAAGTGAGTTTCCCTTTTTCTTCATAAAAGGCTTTTGCCTTTTCAGAGCTCACCTTAAAAAATACTTATGCTGTTAACACATATGTATGTCTACTGCCTTTTTCTCAATGCAGAGTACAATTGTGATACTAACATGTCTAAAGTTTTATCTCCTTCTTAAAACTTAAAAGTAATTCTTGTAAGCTGCAGAAAGTCCACCTAAATCCACCTCTCAGCTCAATTGGACTCCAGATAAGTACTGCACTTATTGCCTATCTCAAAAGGTGGGACTCCTCCCCTTTCCCTGGTTTTGGGATTTCCTTTCCTGGCTACCAGACTGCTGTTTACTGCATGTAACCACTGGCTAGATTGGTGAGTTCACTCCATTTTCTCAGCATAAACACCTCTCTTGGTAGGGGAAGCTTGACCACAGAGCTTTGGCAACTTTCTACTATCTTTTGAGTCGGAGGGACCCCCCCTCAGCTGTAGTCTCAATTGTCTAGGTTTGACCCTCTATGCTGACCTCCATTTTAGGACCACATTCTCCCTTGGGCGGTACGTCTCCTCTCACAGATGGTTCCTCTCCCCACTCGCTTGCCCTCTCGCCCGCTCATGGGCCCTCTCTCGCTCGTTCGTGGGAAGACCTACGAACCGTTGTGCTTCAGCCATGCCACTGGGCACCACACCCGGGTCCTTGGCCAAGAGCTGACGAGCTATTGAACAGGTAGCATCCCTCTTGCTCGGAGTCACACTTTCCCTTGGGATGCCACTGGAAGGTCTTGACTTCTCTGCCCCCAATGGGAGACGCCCAGACGCCCGCACTCCGGATAGAATCTCCTCTGTGGAGAATTTTAAGTTTCTACACCTACTGCCAGCTGGCCCCAGGGCCTTTAAGTTTACATGCTTCTGTAACCAAACCTCACCTCAATGACAGGTCAAAAACAAAGGTCCCCCCCAGGTAGACAGAGGTTCCCATGTACAAGCTTCATCTATCCAAACCTTTCAATGTATACCTACAGGATTTTCTCCATTCTCAACTTTTATCTTTTGCCTATATATGTGTTTCAGTGTCCTGCCAGACACAGATGTTTCCTATAGCCACAACAGCGCCAAAACAGCTACAGGTGTTCAACCCTGACCTCATGGATTTCCAACAAGCTGCAGGTTGTTCAGCTCTGACCTCACAGACTTCCAACAAGCTGGACCTGCACCTTCCCTCCCAGCCATGGGTGTTCTCACAGACCTGGGAAAGCTTCAAAGCAGCCTATTCTTCCTGGACTTGGCCAACATTTCAGCCTCTTGACCTCCCTACAGTGCCCCAGTGTCAGCAGGAAGTAGCCAGAAGAGAATCTACGCCCGTTATTCACTTGTTAACAAAAGCCTGGAATGGTGTGCCTCAGGACCAGGACAAGCGGCTCCAGGTTCTCCCAGCATTCCCCAGTCCCTACCTGCTGCCTTGCGTGGCTGTCAACTCTCTCTGTTGACAACCCTCTACCCTAAATTTTCCAAGGCAGAGACTTCCCTTACTCTTGACCTTGCAATCTGACCATTTTGTTGCTATAATTCTTCTCTCTCTCAAGCTCTTGCATGACAACTAAGAGCTGCTTCCAATGAGCCTAAATTTATATACTTTAACTTACCTTATAAAAAGCAGCCCAAGCTCCCTATTTTTAATTATAGAAAAAGGGAGGAATGTTAGTATTTTGGAACACAACCTGCTTCTGGGTTGCCCAGCAACCTATGACGTCATCATATGTCGACTGCCAGATGGTCACACCTGGAAGGCGTGGTTACTGTGCCCCCTTAAAAGGGCCGCTCCGACACGTGGTCTCTCTCTTACTCTCTTACTCTCATACTCTTCTCTTTCTCTGGGGCGCCCCATCCCCCTTTCCCTCTCTCTTTCCCCACCATGCCCTGCTACCCACTTCCTCCATACCCCCCTAATAAACCTCTCACAGAGAATATTGTTTGTCCCCCTGCTTCATCTCTTTTTAGTTTTTAACACCTAACCCGAATGTGGATGGCACTGTCCCATGGACTACAGTCTTGGGCTGAATAAAAAGGACAGAGAAGAAAGCATGCTTGACATCAGCACTCATCTCTCTCTGCTTGTTGACAGTACACTCAATATGACCAGGTGCCTCGAACCCCTGATACCATGCCTTCCCATCACATGAGACTGTACCCCCAATCTGTGAGCCAAAATGACCCTGCCCTCCTCCAGTAGCTTTCATCACATTTTTCCACAGCACCAAGAAATATGTCTAACACACTATCAAAATATCTACATGTTCCGCTCAAATTTTCTATGAACATAAAATTGCTCTCTTTTTTTAAAGGCCTCTTTTAAAGAAAAACACACAACTAAATAATAATGGTAAAAGACATGTCTCAAAAATTGTAGAATCCTTTTTCTCTTCCTACTCCCTCATTTTTCTTTTTCCTCTGCTGCTTCTTCAAATAGGGCCTTGCTGTGTAACCTAGGCTGGCCCAGCACCGTCACTGCTGGCATTACCAATTGCAAGTACAGTTACTTAAATTTAAAATATTTTATTCTTTTTCCATTGTTAGTTGCTCTGTCCTGCATTACCACTTAGTAAGCAGCTTTTTTTCGGCTTCTTAGCTGATAGCTCCTATCACTGGTACTGCCAGATTCCCTGCTTATGAAATACATTTGCTTCCCACTCTGATCCCACTCTGACATATATATTACAGCCCAGACTGAAACAACCATTACTCTGCAAATGCTAAATGAAACTATGTTACTTCCTTCTTCCACGGATGGTTCCATTCTTTAGGTTTGGTTTAGTTCTGTTGTTGTTGTTGGGTTTTTTTATTTTTTTTTCAAGACAGTTTTTCTGTGTAGCCTTGTGTTAGCGTTACCTTTTAAAACTCTTTTATTTATGCTTCTTAATGCCTCTTCTTTTTTCCACCCCAATCCCTTCCAAAACTGGAATACCAGATAGGAGAGAAAAAAGATTTATTGGGGATTAGGGTGTAGTTTCCTCCTGGTTAGGGTCCTTGGGTTCCTTGGGGCAAGTCCAAAATTTGTTTCAGGATATGTCTGACTTTTTCTCCTCAAACTGCATCAGCAGCAACCAGGAGAAATGGGGGAAGTATCAGCAGCCTTCTCCTTGGAGTCCATTTTTCTGTCTGGGCTCTGGCATTTTTTTTTTCCTGTCTAGAGTCCTCAGATCTAAACTATCTACAGCTGGCAAAGAGCCCCTCTCCGAGTCCACATGAGGCAAATAATCTGCTTCTGTGGACAATCTGAATCAGTCCCACATCCTACACATGGAACCAAAACAAAAACATCTTTACACATCATAAATCAAAACTCCCACAAGAGCCTTGGTTGTCATTCTGTAGACCAGGCTGGCTTTGAACTCAGAGATCTTAAGTGCTGCAAATAAAGGCATGTGCCACTCTCCTGGCTGATGCTTCCACTCTTTGATAGATTTTTAATATACTATTTTTACTAGTAGTAACAGCATTTTGTTTAGCTTTATTTTTAAGCAAATATTTGTTTTTATTTCATAGATTTTTACTTATCTCCTTAATTATCCACACTGCAAACTTAATGAACAAAGCTTATGCTCTCAGAACCCTCTTTTTGAACACCTGCCATAAGAATATCAAAGTTATTTTTAAAAAGCATAGAGCTCTATATAACAACTAATTTTAGCTCCATCTTTACAACATTTAAATATAAACGGGATGTTTTTGCACGAGGCAGTAATTCATTAGTATTCATTTTGTGTGTATTCCACCGGTCTCATAAGTCTTTCAGTTCCATGAAAATTCTTGAAAAGATGGCTCAACTTAATTATTAGGATACAGCTCTGAATACCTTGAAAGAACAAAATACATATTAATATTGGTCCAAATGAAAAGGATAATTCCAAAGGTTTGTGGCTTCTAACCACCCAAGAGACAAAAGAATAAACAATGTGATAATGATATTCCATTTAAAATGCAGGGACAATCCATAGGAACCACCAATATTACAATAGACTTTGTTGCCTCCTTTTGCAAATGCTGCATTTTCACGGAAGCTAATGAAAATAGAGATGAAATCCTTTTCAAATCTAAGTTCACTGTCCAGCCCTCTAGAATTGTAAAAACCAACAAATGGACAGGGACATAGATTCTTTCACTTATACATCCAGAAGTATTTTGGTAAGAGTGGTCGAGAGCTCAATAGAGAATAATGAAAGATGAAAGAAACAAGAAATAAAAAGCATCCCCACTGATGCTTTGGTTTTTCCCTAAAAACTGTCATGATGAAAGAGCAAATGATTTTTCCTTTGCTTATATTTTATATTAACCTTTACCCATCTCCTTGATTATCCCCGCCTTTCCTAACTTGAACAAAGCTTACGCTTTAGCCCTCCCCTCTTTGGAACACCTACTTTAAGAATATCAAATGTATTTTTAAAACATACAGAGCTTCTTTATAGGTTCAGAAAGGGGGTTCTGAGAGTGTGTGCTTTGTTCATTAAGTTGGGAGAAGCATGAATGATTTAGGAGGTGAGAAAAAAAATCAATGAAATGAAAACAAATATTTGCTTAAAAATAAAGCTAAACAAAATGCCATTACTACTACTAAAAAATAGCTCTATTTTTGCTTATGCTAAAAGGATTTTTATCAAGATCAAAAAGATTTTGATCCAACTCTCAATGAAACAAATGGTCCAAGAAGCAGGCTGACCGAGCACATAGAAACAGGTCGAGAGATGAGAATGTAGTTTAATTATCCCTGTCTGGGGAAAGAAAAGGAATTGTTAGTATGTTGAAATTCTTGCTAGAGTGATTTCATCTGGGTAAAAACAAGCCTGTGTATGTCCTAAGGTTCATACACCTCTTAAAAACTGAAGAGATCAGACAAGTAACTTTCACACAAGTCCCAGGGATTTGCTGAATGTACTTGGTCTTAAGCGCTCAGCCTTTCTGGCTCCTCACTAAGTCAGACATAATAACATTTATCCATCATACAAGAGTCACATATGAGCTAACTACATACTATTAAATAGCATGATGAAAACAAAGTTTTGCTTGATTAAGTATTATGACTGCTTTTAAGCTAAAATGAGCATGAAAAATTTTGGCCCAATGACACATTATAAAATCTTTATAATATTATAAATAACAGAAACCATAATGATACTTTAATTCAATTCAAGGGCTGAGCTAGTAAATTGGTAATAATGGGCCCTGAACAAAATCTAATGAGACAACCCATCTTCTTTGCCCATTTTGTAGATTTTTCCCTTTAGGCCTTGAGCAAAGGGAATTAATTTTGTTTTTAAATGACTTAACTATAAAACTTATTTTTTTCCTTTCTTGTGCATATTCTAATTACATGGAAGAATGGGTTTCAAAGTGGATTCATAAGAACTGGGTTCTATAGGCAGTTCTTTCAAATAAATTTTGAGTAATCCATTACAAGAAAATATGAGTAGGATTAGTTTATATCAGACCTAGTGCTGACCCCCAAAAGAATCTCAGCCCCCTCCCCTGAAATAGTTCAGGATGGGTTAAAATTTTCAGTTTTCTTAGTTTTGTGAAGGGAAGGCTTAAAAACCAAGTAAGTGAGAAGTTTTCTTTATTAAAAAAGACCTTTCATTCATTTGGTAGTGGGGGTTGTGGGGTGTGCTTTCATTGATGAGCAGGGAGCATTAGTGGTAACGTGGCTTGTTAGAAGTATCTCCTGATGGACCATGATGGCAGGACTTCTATAAGTGCTTTTCACATCAGGTAAGAATGTAAACACTTTGGAAGGTGTTTCCAGACATACTGAGGGTTGAAGGCATTCCCTGAGGCTGAAAAAAATAAATCCTTCTTGGAAGAGGGACTAAGTGGTACATCTACCACTTAGTGGTATGCCCACCGCAATATTCAATCTATTTATTTATTTTCTTATTTATTTATTTATTTATTCCTTTTTTTTAGTTTGTTTTTTCAAGGCAGGGTTTCTCTGTATAGCCTTGATTATCCTGGACTCGCTTTGTAGACGAGGCTGGCCTTGAACTCACAGATACCCACCCACCCCTGCCTCCTCGAGTGCTGGGATTACAGGTGTGCACCACCACACCTGGCTGTAATATTCAACTTTATAGATTTTTACAAAGGAGCAAGAAATAAGCCAATAATACAATAGAAGACGAAAGCAGGGAATTCAACATTAAAACAAAACCACAAATTATCAACCAATACTAATCATTGTTGGCAATAAGAAAGATGAAAATTGGGAGAAAAATCGTTTTTTAGTTCAATATCATTTTTCTGTGTATCTTCTTGGCAACAGCATTTCTGCTCATTGTAGGATCCTGGATGGTGGTCTTTCTTTGCTGAAGGGGCATCCCCAAAATGGCTCATTAGAGTTTACCCTAACCAGAGGGTAAACTCTAGGGGGGAAATATAATATTTACTGATAAATTCATGTGACTATAAGTCGATTGGAAAGCAAACAAAAAATCCTCTATATGTGTTGATCATAAATGCATCTCAAATTCTAGCCATTCCTAAAACACTTACAATGTTTTTGTGTGTCTAAAAAAGAACTTACCTGATTGTACATCTAGTTAATAGATGCAAAGAAAAATCTGAAAACAGCCAGGAAGCTTAATTTGGTCAGTTGGCATTGCCAGGCATGTGTGCATCATGTCAGCCCCCTTTTGGGCCTCCAGCACGTGATGCCTTTAGTATAGATGACTGTTTCCCGAGCCATCCTTCAGCTAACCATTTGCAAAGGTTCACACAACCTCCATGTGTAGTTTCGGTTTGTCAGCCTGTGACACCCATTAAGAAGCACCTCCACAATGACTCTGCAGTACCTGGAGGGGAAAAAAAATTAGATACAAAAGAAAGTGAAGGAAAAAAGGGGAGCATTAAAAAAGTGAAAAAATACCCACAGCACGTGTGGTGAGAAATGGATGGAACTGCCAATGATCTTTAGTGATTTTTAGAACGGTATGGAATCAGCTAGAACATTGGTACAGAGAACACATACCAAAGTCAATTCTAATTCTAGCTTCCGTACTTGTAAAATACTACTAACCGTATTATAGCATAAGCCTTGTGAAATATTTATTGTATGTATATCTTAGTTTTTCATTTTCTCCTTAAAACTTTTGTATTAAATTTTTCTCCAATTGCAAGTTATAATAATTTCATGTAACTAGTAATTGCTCAGATCTTTCCAGGCTAGATTTAATGTCATACTACTGTCAACTCAATCAATAAATTAAAAAAAAAAAAACCTTACTGTTATGTGTGTTGTGGTTGATGTGGAGCTAGTATGTAGTCAAGTGTTAATTGCCTGTTCCCCAGGAGATCTTTACTGTCTTATGAGCACATCCTCACACACACCAAGTGACGCTGTGTAACTTTGCCTGCACAATTATGCCCAATCGTCTCAGTAAAGTTGCCTACAGCCTGAACTGTGCAAAAGAAGAGGTAGGCAGAGCCAAGGTCAGAGTGCTTTGAAGGTTGTGGTTACAGAAGGAGAATGGGATGTGCAAGAGAGGAAGAAAGGAACAGAGGAAGAAAGGAAGAGAGGAAGGGGAAGAGAGGAAGAGAAGAGAGAAAGAAAAGAGAGAAAGAGAGGAATAGAAAAAGGAGGAAGAGAGGAAGAGGTTGCTGTGGTTTATCAAGGTGTGGTTTAGCACTAGAAGGATGTGGCTGGGAGGAGCTTGCTCTGAAGTTTGATGTGATGGAGAGAAACAGGCCAAATAGAAAATATGTGTGAGTATTATGGGGATTTTGGCAGGGTAGTAGACAAGATAGCTTAGAGGGTTAAGATTTGCCAAATTAAGTTTATTTAAAAATCTAACAGGTCTCTGTATCTGTTATCTATATAATAGCAGGTTAAGAATTAACCACCGTATTAATAATCATGTGAATCAGTAATATTATTAATTATTAATAATCCTTCCACAGAAATGCTTTAGTACAAAAGCAGGCCTGGAACTGATTCAGCCTCCTGTGGTGAAAGCATTTTTCTTTTTCTACCTCTGTAAGTAAATAGTTTCTGTATGTAAAATACTTCATAAGATGTATTTGAAATAACTTTCTAGTCTCCACTTCTAAAACCCCAAAGTAATAATGATAGTAAAAACTAACAGCACAGAAATGCAGTCTTTTAAGATGAAAGGGGTGACTGAGCTCAAGTGTTTTTCTTCTAATTTTAAGAAATCTATCGTTGGCTCTTGGATGCAATTATTCCACTTTTCTAATCACCACTGTTGACTAATCCCTAGGAAGTTTCATCTTTCCTCATGTTTAAATGAAGCTTGACTCTTCCCTCTCCCCCAGACACTGTATAAGAGACATTGATAACTTGTCTTGCTCTTAAACAGATATCACCTGACCACTTGTGTCTTTTTGTTGAAAATAGTGACACAGCCATTTGAGTCTCCTTCACTTTGCTCCAAACATTTTAGGTAGTCTTTTCCTGAAAATGTCTTCCAGGCTAGGGTATCAATTACTCCCAGGTATCTATGGCAGGAGGCAGAGGAGATGGCTCAGCAGGTAAGAACACCTGCTTCTCTTTCAGAGGGTCAAATTCAGTCCCCAGCACCCAAGTCAGGCACCAAGAACTGCGTTCATGTGGATAAACCCAGTTACAGACACACACTGAAAATAAAAAAAGTAAAATCTTTTTTGAAAAGAATGTCCATGGATGCTTACTATTTCAAGATTTCAAAGATTTCTCAAGCTTCTCGACTCATTTATCCTTTATGTGCTATATTGTTACAAGCCTGAAGTCATTCATTCATTCATTCACTCAGTTGTTCATGGAATACACATATATGTGAGGATTACGAGGAGTTCATATTGACATATCAGATGCTATGTCTGAAGTTATTTGGATCACAGAACAGGCCTAATTTTCAGCTCTATCACATTGCCTCTAGCTGATTATATGTCTCCATATGCAAATAAAATGCCACCAGTACCTTTCATCCTGCATGCTTCAGGAGCTCTGTCAGGAAGGGGGATATCACTCTCCTCCCATTGAACTTCACAAGCTGAAACTTTGTTGCAGTGGTGGAAGAGAAGTTGCATGACTTCCGAGAGGTGATTTGCTTTGTGAACTAGAATGAACCAGGCAGTGGTAGTTTTCTCCTTTATTCCCAGCTCTCTCGTTAGTACCAAGTTGATATCAGTTCTCCATCTCCAGGAACTATTGTGGGTAGTGTCTCTTCAGCAATAGGCCTCTCCTCCTCCTCCTCCTCCTCCTCCTCCTCCTCCTCCTCCTCCCCCT